TATTTATTAACAGTATTAATTGGAACAGTATAGTGCAATACAATAAGTTTTATTAAATACATGGATTAGTTGTATATATGAATTAAAGTCTAACTTTATTAAAACAATAATAAATTTATAAAATAAAAGCAAATTAATTTTCCCATATAATATTAATAATAAATAACAAACAGTTTGAAATAATTTTAATTTTAAACAACTAATTATTAGCAGAGGTAATTTACATTTGAATCACTTTACTGTACACTACATATCATTAATTAAGAGTTAGTTTAATAGGGAGGTCCCTCCCGAGGCTGAGCTAATCTGAGGTTCTCTGCGCGAGCCATGGATTGTCTCAACTCAAGCAAAACCATTTTGATTGAGTAGTTTCTCTGCCAACCGGCCAACACCGGGAACACACGCCTGTCCACCACACCAGACACCTCATTAACGCCCGTCAATCGTAGTCTCGATTTGAACCTAACGTTTGGCGGTTGGTTGGGATAGTGGGGCCCGCACTCCACTCTAAGACTATACATGCGATTCTCGTATGGCGTACCCGCCGGGTCCACAATCATTGCCGTCCATTGGGTGAGAGTGGTGTCCGAGTCGTTCTCCAGTCCCCACGATATGGTACCGTCGCCCACACCCTTCTGGCCCTCTTCTAACTCGTCCAGTAGTTTGAAGTTTCTGGGTATCACCACATCAGATGACGATTTAGTGGCCATACCTACTCTTTAATAGATAATCTGATATGCGATAGTATTTGGTGATTATTATCACTCAATTCAATGTCGGTTATAATATTTAAAGTTTAAATAAACCTATGAAATACAGTACTAATAGCAAGTTATTCACTGTAAAAGTAGTTTTAAGATATGCTCAATTTTTAATTAAATGCAATTTTTGGATAAAATTTTATTTTATTAAAAGTTTTTGCAAATTAATAACTTCTATGAGTACAGTACAATATACAGTAAGTATAAAATGGAAAGTTTTGAATTATTATTTTTTTTAGATACATAGCACTTACTAGTTAACCAATAAAACAATTTAGTTGTATTAATACATTTTATTTAAAGTCTACCTATAATTTGATTGACTCAGTAATATAGGGATTTAAATTTGACTGAATGTGTTTGAGATAACATTTAAAACATTTTCCAACATTACTCTTATTTTATTGTTTAGTTTTACAAAATGTGTTTATCATCTCATATATGAATATAACGTCTAATTATAACTTTAAAAGTTAAATAATAATTATTGATAACAAAACAGTTGATGAGGACTACGGTATGGCCAATGAATTGGTGAATAAATTAGATTTTGTATCGAAAATTGTTTTAAACATCTATTTAACTAAATTCTTGGTGTCATTTGCGGGCCATATGTCGGGGGC